GAGCCCGACGTGGGACTCGATCCCGGGACCCCAGGATCATGACCTGAGCCGAAGGCAGACGCTTAATGACTGAGCCACCCAGGCGCCCCACATCTATATTTTTTATGCTAATTCCCAATGACCTATTTCCTCCAGTTTTAATCTTTCTATATATAATGCAGTGGTTGTGTTTCTGTGGTTTTCAAAAATTTTTATAAAACTAGTTCTGAAGGAATAGGGAGAGTTGATGGCTAGAAAGTAATTCCTAAAAGAATTTCACTAATAAATTTTTTTAAAGGGCTAGGACTATAGTTTAAAAACCTAAATATCACTAAACAAATTCGTCATCTAATTTTTATCTTATTTCAGCTCAAAAGTGGTGACTTTTCTTGTGACATCCAATATTGTCTGTTTGCACTACTGTTTCCAAAGCAGTTTAAAAAAATATTTTGCTGTTTGTTTTCATCCTTGTCGTGATTCTCACTTTAACAAAGTATTTTACAGTTAAGCACTATGTGGTTTTTAGTTTGAATATTTCTTAATTTGATGCTTTAATATTTTTTTTCTTCTGGGTGTGTTTTCTTTAATAATTGAGAATTAGTTTACTTCTTGATTCTATGGTTGAAGGCCAACATGAGGCAAATTGTTTCTAAGCCCTAATTTATTAAAATAGACAGTTGCCTCAAAAACTGTATTATTGGACATTCGTTATAAGAAAACTGAAAAGGAATTCCATTTTAGTATGCACTCAAACACTAGACCTAGAATTCTTACAAGTATAATAAACAGTTGGGGGAAACCAAAGCCATGGTGAATGAAACTCAAATGTCTTCCACTCGTTTCTTTTAACTACTTTATAGCAATGATTCTTAAACTTATTTGCATATCAGAATCCCCTTGAAGCCATGTAAAAACACCCACTGTAGTACTCTACACTCGGAGTACTGATTTGGTACTTACTGATTCAGTATGTCTGTGTGGGTCCTGGTGTTGGTGATGCTGCTGGTCCTGAGACCATACTTAGAGAAGCACTGCTTTATAATGTTTATCCTAATAATTGTAGAATGAATTTTTCCATTCAGTTGCATCAGTTAATAGAAGGTTGCCTAGAGCACAGTGTGTCCTGTGTAATACACTAAGAGGAGAGATGGATCACTACTTACCAGCTGTCTGACCTTAAAGTTATTATTTAACTAATCTGATCCATAAAATGAGGAGTTGTCCTTTGAGGATAAAATTAGGTAATGTGTAGAAAAATGTTTTAAACTCTACATTGCTGTTCAAATATAAAATAATTTTGCATATTTTAAAATTTCAGCTTGTTTTAAAATACTGTGGCTAGAGGGTATTGTGCTAAGCGAAATAAGTCAATCAGAGAAAGACAATTATCATATGATCTCACTGATATGTAGAATTTAAGAAACAAGGCAGAGGATCATAGGGGAAGAAAGGAAAAAATGAAACAAGATGAAACCAGAGAGGGAGACAAACCGTAAGAGACTCTTAATCACAGGAAACAAACTGAGGATTGCTGGAGGAGAGATGGATGGAGGGATGGGGTAACGGGGTGATGGACACTGGGGAGGGTATACCGGGTGTTATATAAGACTGATGAGTCACAGACCTGTACCCTGAACAACAAACAAAAAATACTGTGGCTTATCGTATTGTTACATTAAGTATTTTGAGAAACACTTATTTTCTACCTCCACCTATTGCCCCTTGTCCTTTTAATCTTGATTACTTTTTAGTGACGATGTCTTTCAGTTTAAGTAGTCTCAAATGGCTTGGAAAGGTAACATTAAAATGAATACACAGTCTTGTGGGACTCTAAAAATATAAGCATTTTGTGGGACCAGAAAGATAACCATGCAAGCTATGTTGTTGATAGTAGTCAGTGGGAAAAATTGTAATTATTCTGTGACCTTTAAAGATTTTATCAAAACATTTTAAAACTTTTTTACTGCGGGTTATAAATGTATAGGGAGAGGAAAAAGTAAAACTCATATTTAGTACAAGGTAATTTAAAACATTAGAAATATTGAGTTAAATTGTTTTATTTCTTTGTAAATAAAACTTATCTAGATCAGTTTGAACAGTACTTTGTATAACTTACAGTATGGAGATAGAAAAAAATATAGTACTATCTGAATTAGAGAAACATTACATTCAGTATAGCTTGTGTTGGGTATTTTTTTTAGACTATTTAAATATGGACATTTAGGAATGCCTGGGTAGCTCAGTCGGTTGAGTGTCCAACTCTTGATTTCAGCTCAGGTCATGATCTCGGGGTCGTGGGATTGAGCGCATATCAGACAGTACTCAGTCTGCTTGAGATTCTCTCTCTCTACCCCCCCCCAAATAAATAAATAAATAAATAGGTAGATAAATATGGATAGTTAAAAATAATGGAATCATAGAATAAAATGGTTCATAAGAGTCTGGTAAGATCCTTTGAACCCTAATGTTTTAGAGCAAAGGTCAGCAAACCTTTTCTATAAAGGGCTTTTCAGGCCAAGAAAAAAAATCAAGGATATTATATAAGTACTTACATACCAAGAGAAAACCAATTTACACAGATTTTTTTATTGATGGATTCAAAATAATCATAATTGAGTATAAATTTTGTAATCCTGGTCTAAGAATTCTCTTAGATGGAGTAACATTTCTTCCCTGGGTTTGAAGGTTAGTGTACCCTATCATCAAATAGATTGCAGATATTCAACTGTAAAAACTATTCTTAGGGCGCCTGGGTGGCTCAGTTGGTTAAGCGACTGCCTTTGGCTCAGGTCATGATCCCAGGGTCCTGGGATCGAGTCCCACATCGGGCTCCCGGCTCAGTGGGGAGCCTGCTTCTCCCTCTGACCCTCTCCTCTCTCATGCTGTTTCTCTCTTGCTCGCTCTCTAATAAATAAATAAATAAAATCTTTAAAAAAAAAAAAAACTATTCTTAAACTCAGAAAAACAGTGGTAGGTGGCTTTGGCATGTGAGCAATAGTTGTTGACTGATGTTTTAGAATATAAGAGACTTTTGCAGTCATCTAGTAGTGAAGTGAGGGTTGTTTCCCAAGGTCACATGGTTATTTAGTAATAGGTGGTGTCAAATCATAGTGGTCTTTAAAATATACTACTTTTTTTTTTTTAAAGATTTTTATTATTTATATATTTTGAGAGAGAGAATGAGAGACAGAGAGCATGAGAGGGAGGAGGGTCAGAGGGAGAAGCAGACTCCCTGCCGAGCAGGGAGCCCGATGCGGGACTCGATCCCGGGACTCCAGGATCATGACCTGAGCCAAAGGCAGTCGCTTAACCAACTGAGCCACCCAGGTGCCCTAAAATGTACTACTTCTGATGTTCTTAACCAGAATACCCTGTTTCCTACTGATTTTATACATGGAAATTCACCTTTTACAAAAACTACCACCTTACCCCTTCCCCTGAATTTTAGCAGTACCTCAGCTTCTTCAATAATAATGATATTTTAAAATGAAAAATAGGGTTTTAAAAATTTTAATGAAGATTTAGGGGCAGTTAATATATTTTCCCTTCATCTGTACTGTATTTTTTAAGGTGGTTTAAATTATTTTTAATTACATGTATTGGTGAACTGTACAGTTTTCAGTATCAGACATTGTGAACTTTTATTAAGTAGTATTTTAAGTACATACAGATACTATTTTCATATTGTCCCCCTTCCACTTCTACCAGTGGTTAAATGTAAAGAGCTTTAGCCCACATAGGACTAGACTGAAACACCAAACATCAAATGCTTGGCACAAAGTCGGTAATGAATAAATTGTGTGTGTATGACAAAGTGATTTGACAAAACCACTTTATAAAGGGCTTAATATAGTCTCTGGATGACTTGATAATTATTAAATTATTATTTAATAATAAGAAACCAGGATCTGGAATTAGATTATTTAGTTGTGAAACCTGATTAGCCATACACCCAAGCCATGCAGCCCTTGAGCAAATTATTTAACCTTTGTGCCTCACTTTCCTAATCTTTAAAATGAAGATGCTAGTACAAACTTCTGTGGGTTACTGTGAGGCTTAATTATGTTAGTACATGTAAAATGTAATAGTGCTTGGCACATAGTTCGTTCCCAACAACTATTGGTTACAATAATAGTAATTATAAATGTTACGTTTGAATGTTTTTCTTTCCACATTTCTAACAGGTTTAATCAGTTAACCAGACACCCTCTCCTCCCCCAGCCTATCAATTAAATTTAAGGGTCTTTTATTATAGGTAGGATTTACCCATTTACCTCATTTCATAAGTTAGAAAAAGGGAAAATTTCCCATTGAACTGGACATGTGTATTTTACAGTGCTTTATGTAGTCATATGTAGAAAAATTCGTTAAATATCAACACATGCACATGGTCAAAAGGTTATGGTCCTGGTCTGATAATCTTGAGATAATCACAAGAGTGATGTGTTGAGTTTTTTTACCCCTCACTGAACATGTGCCATGTGCCCTATATTTTATAACATATAATATTCCATTCTTAATATTAATGCTTCTGGTTAGTGTAGTTACTTGACCCAAAAAAATCTACTTTGAGAAAAGAAATTTTTTTTTTTAAGATTTTATTTATTTATTTGACAGAGACATAGCAAGAGAGGGAACACAAGCAGGGGGAGTGGGAGAGGGAGAAGCAGGCTTCCCGCCAAGCAGTGAGCCCGACGTGGGGCTGAGCCAAAGGCAGGCGCTTAATGACTGAGCCACCCAGGTGCCCCAAGAAAAGAAATTTTTCTTTGGAAATTAGTAACGCGCAGTTGTACTTATCCTTATGGTTATTAATATATTCTTTGTATAGTTTCATTAAACTATATTGTGTAAATTAATACATTTAGCAGCAAGAGAATTTTAGTACTGAATTTTCTTTTGAATTTGCATTCTTCCCAACTTCTTGTAGAAGTTACGAATTAGTTTACAAAGCCTATAATCAAATTACTTAATGATCTTTCTGTTGTCATGTTTTCTAACATATGCCTCTTTTCCTCCCCCAGAGGAAATAAAAGCGGAAACTGAAAAACAGAGGTTTGTGGGGTTTCTTTTCTTTAGTAAAAATAATTTGCAAACATATCAGTCTTGGCTAAAATAGTAATACATTCATCTATCTGTCACAAATTTTCTGTATGTGATCTTTATAATAAAATAAAAAATGGCTTTTAAGCAATAGAAGCAAAAAGATCTCGTAAATAAGTATATAAGGGTATTCCTGAAATACCATATGATATGCTTTAAAGTCTTTGCTTAAAAACTTTGATTCATATTTAGAAAGATAACTATTTAATTATTTTGTAATTTAGATTACTTTTTAAGTAATTAACTACTGTATTTGATTTTCTTGCATTTAGTTAAGCTCTGGCCACTAGCTTTTGACCTGTTGCAAATCATAATTTCTCTGGGGTTTGGGTTCCCTCATGAAATAAGGGAATATGAAAGTTGGTTTAGCAAAATTCCCTTTAGAACTGAAATTTTGTGTTTTTATGTTTATCATCAGTACGAAAAATGTGATTTTCTAATCAGACTTTTTTTTTTTCCCTTTAGTCCTCCTCATGGAGAAGCGAAAGGTGGATCAAGCACCCTTCCACCAGTTAAATCAAAGACAAATTTTATTGAAGCAGACAAGTATTTCTTACCCTTTGAATTGGCATGCCAGTCCAAATGTCCCCGTATAGTTAGTACATCTCTTGATTGTTTACAGGTATGTGTAAAATGGCGTATCTAAAAACTATTTAATTTGAATGTATTTCTAAACATTATTCACAATTGGTGATTCAGACATTTTCCATGAAAGCCTTGAATATTCTTATTGTGATAAGAAACCAAATGGTTGCTTATATTTAAGAGAGACAAAATAATGGCTCCACAAAGACGTTCCTAGTTTAAGGGTAACAAAAATTATTAGTTAGCTTAGTGAGACACATTATCTTTACTAAGTGTTGATTTGGTCTCATTTTCCATCAGTTAGGTGCAAGAACCATAAGACTTTTAACCTGCTGCTGACTTTACATGTATCATGATTTGCAATGATTTTACTAAATGCCTGCTGTTTTATTTAAAGCAATAGGTTAATATTGGCAGTTCATTGTTTCTATTCACTGCTGGACTTTAGCTCTGATTTTCATTTATGTCAGAAAAATTCCTGAAATTTTTCATCCTGTTTTATTTACATGCACACACACACACAGGATTCTCTTACGACTTAAGATACTTGTAAAACTTCCAGATAGAAGGGTCTTTCTCTTTTCAGGTGTTTTCACTGCTTGGTAAATTATATCTGTTGAACTAATAATTCAGTGGCTAGGAAAAGACCATATTCATATGATTTTTTCAGAAGATAGATTAAGTTCATTTGATTTGTGACCTTGTTTTCCCTGAAAAATTAAAATTAATGATACCTAAGGCTTTCAGCGCTATAATGGATGATGAATGAACAAATCTATGATTTATTATAGCCAGTGCATGGAAATTGGGTTTTCTGCATTTTCACAGATCTGATGTGGAAAGAGATTTTGAGTCATTTAAATGTGTTAATACAGCTTTCACAAAAGCAGTATCAATAATGGTTAGATAGAAAGCAGTAAGCTATTCTGATTCATCAGAGATAAGGTCTGAGACCTGGCTTTCTCAAAATATTGCCTGATGGTTTTATTGTGGTTATTGTTTTTGTGGTTATTATGAATGTAAATAATTTTACATGTTTATAGCTAATAAAGTTTTCTTCAGGAAAAGTTGGTATAGCCATGGCTTTGATTTTACTTTAATGTTTTTATGTAAAAAGTTTAATATATACTGAATTACATATTATAATTTTAATGTATATTTAATTAGCATATATATCAGCTTAATGGGGATCTTTGTTTTCTTTTTCCATTTCAGAAACTTATTGCTTATGGGCACTTGACTGGCAATGCTCCAGATAGTACAACACCAGGCAAAAAATTAATTGATAGAATTATTGAAACAATTTGTGGCTGCTTCCAAGGTCCTCAAACAGATGAAGGAGTTCAGTTGCAAATAATAAAGGTAATTGATTATGTAGTGAATTTGTCATTCATAATCTCTGTTTTTAAAAATCAGAAGCCATTTATCTTGGAAATATTTGGAAAGGTCATTTTATGTGCTTTCCAGCTGTAATAGAGGTCATTTAGTTGCTTTTTAGACACCATATGAGGGGGTTTTGTTGAATGTCAGGAGTTCACTAGAAGATTATATTTCTAAGTCTGTTATTTTGAAGGTCCCAACTTAGGCTTGGGCCCCCAGAGTTTTTCAGTTTCTGGAATGTTTACTGTACATATTCCATCTTTTGAGCTTTAGGGTCCATGCGATGTTCCTGTGATCCCTCTAGTTTCTTCACTACTTCTGGACCCCTTATAGTCTGCCCTCTAGACCCATGCTTCACCATGTGAACTATTTGTGTACCAGCTTTCCTGATTCCCTTGTACCTATTCATCTGCTGAACCTGCTTAGCCAAACATTTGCCGTAATATACCTGGATGATTAAACTCCTTTAAAGAAAAGTCACTCAATTGTTTTTTCAGTCTCTTATAAATTTTGAATTCTTAATATGACAACTAATGGTAGTGGTGATACATTTATACATCAGTAGAATTTTCTTTTTTTTTTTTTTTTAAAGATTTTATTTATTTATTTGAGAGAGAGAATGAGAGAGAGCACATGAGAGGGGGGAGGGTCAGAGGACGAAGCAGACTCCCTGCCGAGCAGGGAGCCCAATGCGGGACTCGATCCAGGGACTCCAGGATCATGACCTGAGCCGAAGGCAGTCGCTTAACCAACTGAGCCACCCAGGCGCCCTACATCAGTAGAATTTTCTTATACTTTTAGTACTTTTGAAATAATTTACATGTATAAAGTGTTTTTCATGTGTGAATATAGCCCCTTCTGAGTCTTTCGGTTTCATAGCTATTTTCACTTCACAAGTCATATCTTTATTCTAAAAAGGCTGCCCAGTCAGTTGGCCTGTCATTTGCAATTTGATATCAGTCATGGTTTATTTAGCATATATCAATGCTGACTCTGCATAGCAGTGTACAACATAAAAGGACAAAAGAGTCCTTGCTCTTGAGAAATTGCAAGTACCCTAATGTATGAACATTCATGTAAATTAAAGTTGTTGACTTCTTTGGAGGATTCACTTAGGATTATTTTAAATGCTTTATTCTAATTTAATCTGATATTTTAATGCTTAATTCTATTTGTAAACCTCTTCAACAATAGCAGTACATTATTGAGTCTGGTCTGTAAGAAAGATTTCAGAAAAATTTGGGAGTGAGTACGACATTGTGTATCCTCCAAAGTTGACAGTCTCATTCGACAGATCTATCATATGAAGCATATCTGTGTTCTCTTGTGACAGAGTTAATGCTGTGCATTTTAAGAAACTAATATTTTTATTAAAATGAAACTTGGGTTGAAACAATATGATTGAATAGTTTCTAGTCATCTGGGTTTGGATTATTTGGAAGCTACTGCCAGTTGATGATATATATTCAAGGCTGTTAGAAATTCTCTTGGTATATACTGAAAATTCTGTTAGTGTATATCTGAAAGTGGTAATGGTGTGTAAAAGCTGTAATTATAATATACAAATACTCATATTTTTGTGCTGAAACTCTGGATATAGAAAATTGCTTCAACTGTGTCTTTCTTTTTAAAGGCTTTACTTACTGCAGTAACATCTCAACACATAGAAATTCATGAAGGAACTGTACTGCAAGCTGTGAGAACATGTTACAATATCTATCTAGCGAGCAAAAATCTCATCAATCAGACAACAGCCAAAGCTACTCTTACTCAGATGCTAAATGTTATCTTTGCACGCATGGAAAACCAAGCAGTAAGTATTAAAGAGAGAGATTTAAAGAATACCACAGGCATCAAATATAGAAAAGAATTTATAGAGAAATTACAGTGAAATCTGTGCTTGTAGGAAGAATGTTGTCATTTACAGTTCTACTTACTGGAGATCTGTGGTATTATTTTGCTTTGTTTTGAGGTTTACTGACTTGTTTGACTTTGGAAAAAATATATTTTTAGTGGTTCACAAGTAGAATTTAAAAGATATTTACTGTCATCATCCTCATGGAAGTGTTTATAAATTGATAATATTTTTATTGTACTCAAGCTTAGTAGATGATTTTAATGTAGGTATAAAACTACGTAATTTGGTCTATTCTGCTATAAAATTATTTAATCATTGAGTCCTTTAAAAATAAAATATGTGTCTGTATTGTGGAAATACATTTTGGGGGGGTAAGAGATCAGCCAAAGAATCATTTGTACATATTTTTAAATTGTTCAAGTCTTCATAATTACAAATCGACTTTTAACTTTTTTTTGAGCCGATTTTAAGCTTCTAATATTACAGAGAGATCTCCTTTACCCCTCTTTCCCTAATGCCAGCATCTTATATAACCATATTACAATAACCAGAAACAGGAATTGACATTTGTATATTACTGTTAAATAAACTACAGAGCCTACTTGAAGTTTACCAATTTTCCTACACATGTCCTTCTTTGTTTCAAGATCCAATCCAGGATCTGACTTTGTACTTAATATGAATTTAGTAGAGGATAGGGATGATGCTAAATACCTGAAGCACACAGGACAGCTGACAGTCCCTCTCCACAACAAAGAATAATCCTGATCTAAAATGTCAGTAGCACTGATGTTGAGAAACCCTAGTCTAGAAAGTACGGAGGTTTATAGAAAATGTTTAAAGGTTTATTTTCATGCAATAACATTTATAAAAGGATATTTCTAGAGTTTCTTTAACTCTGGAATAAATAGAACTAGAATTCAACACCATGCTTTTCTATAATTTCAAAGCATGTGCTTGCTCCTCTAAACCATAGTGCAGATCTGTTGAAGTTTAGGCTGAGGGTGGGAATGCATTCCAAGTCATAGGTTCTTCACTGCTAATTTGGAAATTGACTTTCTCATGAATGGGCTAAAGTATTGGTCTGAAAATTCTCTTCTGATGCCATCTGTGCATGTAGTCATGCCCATCAGTTTCCTTATCTGTAAAATACGAGATTTAGACCATGCGTATTATAAGGTTCCCTACATTTTGAGCATTAAAATATTTTAATTTATATTTATTTTATAAATTCATATAATTAGTTCTGGTATTTCCACATAAACTGGACTATTACTAAGGAATATGAAATGTTCATTTTTGGCACAGTGAAGTATTTACCTTTATGGAAATTAATTCTGTGAGAGTCATTCTTATTAGGCCATGAGGACCAGAAGAGATGTGTCTAAAAGCAGTAAAATGCTGAAAAATGAAATCCTGTGATTCTGATCATCACTGTTTTAGCATCTTACAAGTAAGCCAGTTTTATAGGTGGTATTGTATGTATAATAATGACTGGTCTCCTAAAATAAAACTCAACATTTGTTGATACCATTTTTCATCCTTATTAAGATGACTGATTGAGCAGAGACATTTAAGAACTCATTGCTATTTTATTTATTAAATGCAATTTTATTATTTTTTTGATTAAAAAGACATTTGACAACATGACATAAGAACATGTTATACTGAAAATCCCTCCCACTCTTGTTTCTAATTTGGTCATTTCCTAACCTCCACTCTCTAGAGGTAACTATTATTATTAACTACTTTCTTGTGTATCTACATTTTGTCTATGTATGTATGGGTAAAAATGAGCATGTGTTTTATTTCCGCATCCACTTTTTCCCCTCCCTTAGTGAAACTTCTATTTGATTTTTGGAAAATCCACTATTGGCAATAATACAGTTATTATTCTGAGGCTATTAGAATTTAGTTTTTAAATTTTGTTTTGTTTAGGTTATACATTTACATGATTCAAACACCAAAAATAGTGAAGAGAAGATATATGCTGAAAGACTTCCATCTCTGTTCTTACGTACATCCTTCTAAGAAGTAACCACTGTTACTTGTTTTTGTGTGTTTTTAGTATATTTTATGTGCTTTGCTTCTGATGGATAAAGTGTCACCTTATATATAAAGGATTTATAGTTCAGTGTAACATTATCCCTCCAAATTTTAAACAACTCATTTTACTAATATTGGAAATTATTTTATTTCTTTCCAGTTGCAAGAAGCCAAACAAATGGAAAAAGAAAGGCATCGGCAGCATCATCATCTGTTGCAGTCTCCAGTAAGCCATCATGAGCCTGAATCACCTCAACTTAGATATTTGCCACCTCAAACTGTTGATCACATGTCCCAGGAACATGAAGGGGACCTTGATTCCCATACAAATGATGTGGATAAAAGCCTTCAGGATGACACAGAACCTGAAAATGGATCTGATATTTCCAGTGCAGAAAATGAACAGACTGAAGCTGATCAGGCAACTGCAGCTGAAAGTAATCTTTTTGGGAGGGGGCTGTGGGGCATGTGTGTGTGTTAAGGGAAGAGTGTAGGCATGCGTATTTGGGAAAGAAATGTGGAAAGGGTAATATGACTTAATGTATATCAGACACATGGTAATGTGGATTTTTCCATCCTATATGGTGAAGTTATTGACTTCAACATAAAAGACACCTATTAACAATACTGTGCATTTGTTAGCATCTCATGAGTAGTATGATTTACAGACTTGTTTTGGAGGAGATATATGTTACTAAACGGGGTCATAAATGTCTGTTAGTGTGTTTTATAAGAACTTGAGTTTTCTTCTTAAAATTAGTTTCACAGCAAACAAAAGACCTAAGGTTTTCTGGAATATGAAAGTTTTAGGGCATCAAAATGTTATTGGTTTGGAAAAATATTATGGTCTATAAAGTACTGAAATTAAATATAAAAAGAAATCTTTTGAGTAACCAACCACCTGACATACAAAAATATTTTTATATCCTGATGTGTAGTAATCACTAAAATTGAGATGTTCTCTGATAGTATTTTTCTAAGTAAATTTATTTATAAGAAAAGAGTGGGGCGCCTGGGTGGCTCAGTCGATTAAACATCTGATTCTTGGTTTTGGCTCTCTGGTTGTGATCTCAGGTTCATGAGATCAAGCCCCGAGTCGAGTTGGGTTCCGGGCTTCTCGCGCAGCATGGAGTCTGCTTGAGACTTTCCCCCTCTGTCTCCCTCCCCCTCTGCTCCTCTTCCCGCTCTTTTTTTTTTTTTTTTTAAAGATTTTATTTATTTATTTGAGAGAGAGAGAGAATGAGAGAGAGCACATGAGAGGGGGGAGGGTCATAGGGAGAAGCAGACTCCCTGCCGAGCAGGGAGCCCGATGCGGGACTCGATCCCAGGACTCCAGGATCATGACCTGAGCCGAAGGCAGTCGCTTAACCAACTGAGCCACCCAGGCGCCCTCCTCTTCCCACTCTTGTGTGCTCATGCTCTCTCTCTCTCAAATAAATAAATAAAATCTTCTTTGAAAAGGGTTACAAGATAACAAAAATTACATTTATTTATTTTACGAATTTATTTTTCTAAAAATAATCACATGAAGTCATTTTTTTCCCCCAAAACATTATTTTGAGCTTTAGCTATTCTAGGGAATTTGGTTGTTCCCTTTGTTCCTTCTTAGGTTGGTGTCAAAAAATGACGGAAATTCTCTTGCCTATTCACTGTATTTGTGTGGAAGTCGGATGGTTAGGGCTTAGTAACAGATTATCCGAATTCTAGATTTTTCTTTGAGAAAAGACTTCTGTAATATATTTTCAGCTCTTGAGTTTTTTTTTAACCACATCTTTTTTTTTTATGACAGTAGTGGCATGATTGGATGCCTTTTCACTATTTTTCATAGTGCTTTACTATTTATTTTAAAAGGGATAATTTTGATAAATCCAACCATTCACAGTACTCAAGCTAATAAGAAATCTGTACTGTTTATATGATTTACATTTTTCTAGTCTGTCCTTGCCAGAATTTCACCTACTTTTACTGTGAGTTTATAAAAGAGCTGATTGAAAGGGCTAATCCCTAATAAAGCTGAGACCTTGTTTATTCCTTCATTTCTTCATGGATTTGGTAAACATTTATTTAGCATACTGTGTCCTGGGTACTCTGTGGGACTTGGAGATAAAAACATTGTTCTTAGGGTACTCATGGTCTGCCTGGATGGTCAGGTGTATAAATGATGTATAATGGGATAAATATTCTGAAAGTGGCATGCACAAGATAATTCTGCTGAGGAGGGTTAGGCAATACCTTTGTAGAGAAAGCAATGATGATTTAGTTGAATGTTGTTGGATAGGAGTTGGAATTGGCTAGCTAGGAAATTTTCTGACAGAAGAAACATGGGCTGAGACCCAAGGAATGGAAGCATCTACTGTGTATGAGTCACCTTATAGGATACAGAATTATAAATAAAGCATAATTCACTGTGGCATAGTAATGATTATTTTGGCCCTGTAGGTGTTTTCTCCCAACAGCTGATAAAAATGAAAATTCTACCTGAGAAGCATTGGTTAAGAGTGCTCTGGAGTTAGATTATCTGCTTTGAATCACATCTTTATCACTAATTAGTTATATGACTTTGGACATAATGGTTAACTTCTAATGATTTCCTATGTGTAATAAATATTACTGTAATCTATTTCTGTTAGATAATTTGTGTGAGAATTGACTCTTGATTCAGTAGTTATTTTATACACATATTAGTGACTGTGTGTATTTAGTTTTGTTGAAACTAACTTTCAGACTCTAGATATCTAATTTTAGCCAACTAGAGCACAGAAATACAAAGCTTAGGGGCACCTGGCTGGCTCAGTCAGTGGAGTGTGTGACTCTTGATATTGGGGTTGTGAGTTCAAGCCCCCACGTTGGGTGTAGAGATTACTTAAAAAATAAAACCTTAAAAAAATGCAAAGCTTAAGGCTGGTGGAAAAATTATCTTGTCCAAGTATTTACATATTTTTACTCCACTAAAAATTTAAGTGTTATTATATTTGAATTTTTTATAAAGTAAGTTTACTGATTTGGTGTGCTCATTTATCAAATTTCCTCTTGTGGCATTCAGTATTTTATAGAATGTAGCAAACATAGATTAGTAGCAGTGAACAATAGGGAGGACAGGCTTTTGGAAGCCAGAATCGTAAGTAGTGGTCCTTTAGTGTAGTGTGAGCGGGGATGGGCTTGTTAGCACTATCAACTAATATGCTGTCTGATGCCATTTGAGTAGGGTCCTGGATCCCAAAGCATCCCAAAGTGCTAATTGAGCCTTCCTGAGATATTTGCAGCATTTCAAAAAATCTGATGGAAATCCTATTTTTATCTGCAAGCTAACTCTGGAATGTCACGTTTTATCAGTTTATCTTAGGTTATTCAGAAGTACTGATGGGCTTTTCAATCTGTTTTTGATTGTTAAATTGGGGGATGAATTCTTTTTTACTTATTAAATTTAGTTTTACATTGGATATGTAGATTCTCTGGGGGGAAGAAATAGTAAAGAAGGGATGGAAAGCATTGGTGGACTCCCAGATAGCCCTATGTCTCTTCTTCAAGGACTTCAAAAATATTAAGGCACAACAATGAGCTTGTTATTATTGATGAACTGAATTAATCAATGTAGGCTCTAATTACATTTAATATATACTTAGAAGAGTGTCAGATGTGTTAGATATGTTTCATTCAAAATACTGTAACATCAAAAACTAATGATGTAATGTATGGTGATTAACATAACATAATAAAATTAAAAAAAAAACCAAAATACTTTAAAATGTTTGGCTCCTAAAGGAATAATCTAGAAAATTTACTTACGTTGAATCATCATTTAATAGTTTGTCAGGTAAATCATTTTTTAAATTGACTTGAATTTATAAAATATTTTAAATATGGTTTAGTTATGAATTTTGAAGGTTTAACTTGTAATCTCTTCTAGTTTCATGTATCTATTATATTTTCTTTTATTCTTAGTTTTTAAGGAAAGTTTTTAAATTTTAAATGTTTAGTAAGGTTTCCAAAAAATTAAAATAATGCTTTCTTGGATTTTTCTTTCTTAAAGCGTTATCTAAAAATGACATATTATATGATGGAGAAAACCATGACTGTGAGGAAAAGCCACAAGACATTGTACAGAGCATTGTAGAAGAAATGGTGAACATCGTTGTTGGAGGTAGTGTATTTCACTCAAAATTAGTTTTTTCTGTCTTTGATATTTCATCCTACTATGGAGGTTATTTATATAATGTGTGGAGCAAAAATACAAGCTTTCTCAGCTTAGCGTGCGTGTATAGAAAAAAATATTTAAACATCTTTAATTATAGAAGAGTTACTCCCTTTTTTCTCCAGGTTCAGTTATAATCTTTTATAAAAACCCATTATTCCCCTACCGCATTAAAAAAAAGTTGATGCCATTTCATGTTTTTGTTTTTGTGTTTGGTGGCAGAGATATATTCTTTATCCTCCTAAATGTTGTAAACTTTATAAACTAGAAAATAATTGAAATTGATTTGGTTTTGAGTATGCATATCATTTTTGGAAAAATCATGCTTTCTTATGCCTTTATTATCACAACCAATATATAGTTGATATAGGGCCAGTTCCTATCTTATGGATTGTATTATAAAGATGTCTTAAAGTTTGTTAGGAATTTAACTCATATTTTCATAAATAATATTATTTATAGAGAGGATTAGATTTGAGACCAATCCACTGAGGCTTATTTAATTCATGGTATCTTGCACAGGACTAAGATAGTACCTTGTTACATATACTTCTAGATGTATGATTAAATGTACAGTATGGCTTTTGAATGAGAATAATACTGTTCCAGCAATACCTAACTCCCACTTATAACATCATTTCTAAGAATATATTTTCTCCTTTAATGCAACACTAGAATCAGGCATTCATCTGATTGCCTTCTCGTTTTTTCATCTTTTCATTCAGCAAATACTAAGGAAATGCGTACAGTTGTGTGGCACTGTAGGAGGATACAAAAGTTAATCCAAGATAGACCATGCTCTGGAAGAAGGGGGTTCTGGAAAGTATGTATGTAAGACTAATACAAGGTATAAAGTGATAAGTGCCATTACAAAGAAACAGCTAACATCCTATTAAAATTCAGGAAAAAAGTGATTATTTCCAGCTAAAATGATCCAGAAGGGCTTCATGTAGGAGATGACACTTGAACTTAGACTATATGGATTCACACAGGTATGGGGAGTGGTATTTGATGTATTGGAAGCTCTGTTGGCTCAAGTCTAGAGGAGAGGACTTTAGCCAAACTACCCACCTGGGAATTGACAGGTCATGGTTTGGCTGAAGTATAAAGTATGTGATGTCATATAATAGACACTAAGGTTAAAGAAATCTTGAACAAACTTACTAATTAAAGGTTTAAGATTTTAGACTTTATTCCATCATAAAATGAGTTACCATTAAGGATCTTTAAACTAAGAGATGGAATGATTAGAATTCTGTTTTAAGAAACTAAGTAGGGAAGTAGAAAGTACAGTAGGAGACCAGTGCAGTAATGGAATCCTCAATAGGACAGAAACAGTGGAAATGGAGAGGGAAACGTGAATGAGAAGTGAGATAATGAATGTTAAATCAAGAAGACTTTGCAACTGATTAAATACATAGGTGAGAAAGAGAAATTATAAGGTTTGTCGGAGATCCCCAAGAATACCCCAGGGTTTTGTGATTCACTAGAAGGACTGACAGGATTCATCATATAGTTAACGCTCACCACTAAAATTTTTACCATGTAAAGGTACAGTACAAAATCATCAAAGAGAAAAGGCATATGAGGCAACATCTAGAGGAAATCAGGTGCACACTTCAGGAATCCTGTCCTAGTGAAGTCACACAGGAGGTTCTTAATTCCTCCACATCAGATTGTGAGTGTTGGCTACCAGGGCAGCTCATTAGACTCAGTGCCCAAAGTTATGTCTGCTCCCTTTACTTACATGTAACCTAATTTCAGATTTCCAGAAGGAAAGCTGGTTTTCAGCATAAACCACATTATTTGTGCAAATGGTTTAGGCACAGTGAGCCACTCTTACTAGTTCTGGGAATAGTGGGAACCCTCCCAAAATGTAAGTTCCTCGGTGCCAGCCAAAGGCCAGCCTTGAAAGCAGGCCTTTCTAAGGATAGGCAGTCTCAGGCCTTGCTGTGTTAACTCCTCTCTGCATGGGTGGTCTGCCAGTTTCTCAGCCTAAATGGATAGGTGGATGCTCTAGAACTGGTAGAATTAAATCATGTTGGAGGAGAAGTTGGCTTGGGGAAAAAAGTACTAATTTTTATTTTGACATACTAAATGTGACCTTTTAGTGTACCATCCATGTGGGAATTTTATGAATTACATAATAGAAATATAGAAATCTGCCCTAAGATATCAAGGCAGGTGCTATAGATGGGAGTCATTCTGTTAAAATTAATAGTTGAAGCCATAAAATCATTGAATAAGAAAGTATAGAGACTAAAGAAGAGGCCATGATCTTGGGGAGTATGAATTTAAAAATAAACCAAAAAAGCCCTGTAAACTTATAATCAGGGAAGAAAGAGCATTATGTGTCCATGCATTTTTTTAAAAGTTTAATAATATATACGAAGGGATGGCAAATTATATTCCATGAACCACATTTGGCCCATTGTCTATTTTTGTAAATAATGTTTTCTCGGAACACATACTCGTTTGTTTATGTTTTGCCTATAGTGGCTGTCTTTGCACTACAAAAGTAGAGTTGAGTAGTTGGAACAGACCATATGGCCTGCAAAGCCTAAAATGTTTACTAACCGGCCCTTTGCAAAAAAAAACTTTACCAGTCTCGAATACATATCAATTCGAGTGTGAAGTGAAATTTCTCTCATTTTTCTGCAACTTTTTACTCAGAGCATTTTCATACCTAGAGAAAAGTCCAAAGAAAGTCCAAAGAACAGTACAGTGAACACCTGTATGCCCCTTTCTCTAGATTCACTAGTTGTTAAGAATTTTGGTACATATGTTTTATGTATCTTTAAATGGATGTACACACACACATACATGTATGTAAATATGTGAGTTTTGCTCATCTTTGCTGAGCCTTTTAAAAATTGGTTATATATATCTTGATACTTTACTCCTAAATACTTCAGCATATATCTTCTAAGAATAAGGGCATTCTCATACATAACCATCATTCATTTTCACACCTAAGAAAATTAACACTATTTCAAGAATATCTAATCTAATACTACATTTTAAAATGTTCCCAAATTTCCAAAATGTCTCTCTTATATCCTTTTTTTTTTTTTTTTCCTTTTCTTTTTTAAGTATGGGATCTGAGTACACTTGCTGCATTTGATTCTGTCTCTTTGGTCTTGTTAGTTTAGAACAAGTTCTCTTGCCTCTTCCCCCATCTTTCATAACATTTACCTTTTTTTAAAGAGTATGATATTGTCCTGTAGAATGTTATACATTTTGAGTTGATATGACAGTTTCCTGATTTAGATTAAATGTATTTGGCAAGAATACTGCATAGGTAATGTTGGTGCTTCTTATTACATCATGTTATGTTAACTGGTGCATAACAACAAGTTACCCCTGTTAGTGATAATGTTTGATCACTTGGTTAAGAGGATGACCACCAGGTGTCTTCATTGTAAGGGAGCATTTTTCCCTTTATAACTATAGTTGACCCTTCAACGAATGACATGGATTGGAACTACATGGATCCACTACATGTGGATTTTTTCCCCCCATAAATACAGTCCTGTGAAGGTATTTTCTCTTTTTAAATAATTTTTCTTAGGATTTTTTTCTTTAGTTTACTTGACTGTAAAAATACAGTATATAATACATGTAACATACAAAATATGTCTTAAACAACTGTTTATGTAACGCTTCTGGGCAGCAGTAGTCAAGTTTTGGGAGAGTCAGAAGTTACACGGCTTTTCAACTACATGAGGGGTCGGCACCCCTAAGCCCCGTGTTGTTCAAGGGTCAACTGAAATATGAAATAAGTAATCTGAAAGTGATACTTCGAGATCATAGAAGGATCCATCCACTTAGTGGTTTTAGCATCCATTGATGATCCTTGACTTAGATACTGCATTGGTTACAAAATAGTGATTTCATAATTCTAACATTAATTGACACTTTTCTATGAAGAAGAGCTCTTCCTCTTTAAAAAAAAATAATACTGTGAGCTCATGGGTTCTTTTGTTATTCATTGTATTATAATCATTTACTATTTTTCTTTTTTTTTTCCTTTGTTCCCGATCTAGCCAGTAGGAATCCAGCTCCTGTGTCTTTCTGATGTGATTCCATTATCTTTGAGCATTTCTTTGTTTCCTGAACAGCAAGATGTTTTAAGTTAAATGTTCAACTATCGCTTGCCCCAGCCCTGGAATCTGTTACTTCTTTAAGGAGTTTTTGTTCTTTTTAGTGGACAATTGTATCTAGAAACTAGGTGTACTCATGTCATGGTGTCATTACTTCTTAGCCTTTCCAGTGTACTGAGACAGGCAGATCTACAGTCACAAGTTCATATTGATAGTTCCAGGTCACATCCAGTGCCACTAGGTTTCTCTTCATCTTCTTACATTTCATATTTGTATCTCCCTTTTCCCACAGTAAAAACCCAAATTCTCAGCAACAACTTACTAATTTAAAGTTCAAAATGTTTTTATATGTGTGTATTTAGAATATATCCTACTAAGGATGAATAACAGCTACACTATTTACAACTATTTTATTGATTTAATTTTATTTATTTGAAGATCACTTGCATGAATCAACGTCAAAATTATATGAAACATATACTCAGAATTCTTCCATGCAGTCCTTCCTTTGCTGACCTACCTGAGATAGGTAGCCACCTTCATTAGCTTTTAGTTTATCCTGTGTGTATTTCCCCCAGACTGACAAGCAGGTACTTAACATTATTTCTCTTTCTTTTTGGCAAAACACTGTGTATCTTCTCTTTTTTTTTTTTTTGGTCTCCCTTTTTTTCACCTAATATATACTATAAATATTCTTATTTCCGTTGATAGAAATTTTCCTTATTTTTTCTCTTGGCTCTCTGCATAATACTCTATTATGTGGCTATATCATAGTTGACTCAACCAGTCCCTTACTGACAGGAAATTTAGTTGTTTCCAGTGCTTTGCTATTACAGGTAATGCTGC